CCTGGTTCAGGGACGGCTCGGCGACCCACCCCTCGGCCGCTCGGGTCATCAGCACGCAGACACCAATGTGGTGGACGGCAAATGGCGTTTATTGATAAATAACACAGCGTTATATAGCCTAGGTTTACAGCATCACTTCCGTCTGCTTACTTCACGGGTTAAACGCTATTGGCTATTAGGACGGGGGGGGGACACACTACCTTTCCGTACAGCGCGACATCTTCAGACCGCCAAGCCTTAACTACCCACAGCCTGCGGGTGGGCATCAGGGTCAGGCCTGGTGAGGAGAGCGGGGCTCAGGCACAGGCCAGGATGGCCACATGGGGCCATGGGGTTTGGCCGAGTCTGGGCTGGGATCCGGGCCCACGGGTGGGCCTGGCTCGGGCGGCCGTGGCAGGGCAGGACTGTGAGGAGCTGGAGAGCAGCCCTGCTGTGGCGATGCTGGGGCAGGGGTCAATGGCCCTGGGGAGCTGACATGGTGTCCTGGGCTGCAGGCAGGGTGGGGGGAGCCCCAGGAGATGCTGGGCAGTAAGAGCTACCGGTGCCCTCAGATCCTTGACAGGCACGTCACCCCAGGTCAATCTCTTTGATTTTCTCCTTATCTAAAGACAAGTAATGATCTTACCTTGATCACTAATGTGCTACAAGGTTATGAAGCTGTTAACGATTGAGCTGGGCTTCTCTGTCTTACCTGTGAGTATACGTGGGCAGGCAGATACAGTCCAGAGCTATCGGGCAAGCCTCCTCCATAAGAGTTATGTAGCCTTTCCTTGTTTTGCAAGCACATACCAAAATAATTTAATGAGTTATTTCTGGATGGATGTAGTCAAGGTCTCCCTTATCTGAGTGGTGCTTTTGGGTAGGTGTTGCCCCGTGACAAAGTGTGTGTGCCAGCACTAGGGAGCTGGACTGAACATGTGACAGAAGACTAGTGGGACAGGAAGGGACGCCCCTTTTGACAGCTGCATGGATTTAGCTTGGTTGTACAGCCACATTCTATACATGCAATAGGACAATATTTCTAATCTGGTGATAATTACAGGCTGGTGCTGAAAGCGAAATTCCTAACCCACCTCCATGACTTCACACTTGCTTCCCTTACCCTGTGTTGTAGGCAGTGAAGTTTGCACTGAAGAGCAAATAGAGTATAATGAGCTGATTTGAAGGGAAATTTCCCCCCTCCCACCTCCCCAGACCTTGAGAAGGAGTTTCCAGCTAACCCATGGCCTGCCTGTCCTTACCTGGCAGCCTCACAATGGCTGTAACCAGCACAGAACAGCAGTATCTTTTTTGGAAATAGCCAACAAATCAATGTCTAAGCTAATTAATAAGGGAATAATTAAAATTAAATTTATGATAGGATGTCAGACATTTACATTTAAAAACCCAGAAATATAGACAAGCATTCCTCCTAGAATAACCTGCAGTGGTACTAGGTTTTATATTGAGACATGACCTTAATATAAAGTAAAATTAAAATCTTTATTAGAAAAGGCGACCTTTTTAATTTGCCAGTGACACTTTCATACTAACTGCATACTAAGATAAAAAACTGAAATCTAGTGATTTGCCTCAGAGCAAAGCTTCATTACATTCTCACTAGGTTGAGCCATAAAGAGTTATCAGCATCCTCGTTGGAGTTGGTTCTGCAAAGCTTCCCTGTTCATGGCTACAGTAAGGAATGCATTTACCCCTTACTGATGCTAGTCAGGTTAAAATGCATCTTTAAGTCCTGTCCTTAATTTGTGTATTGTCTGAAGAGCTCACAGAGTTAGGATGAGGTCTGGCTGATTTGTCACTTGTCTTTTTCTAACTGGGTTTGTGGGTGAACGTTTGGGTGAACAGCAGAGGAGATTCAGCATTAGGGCTCTGGTTAGGCTGTGATGCGTGTAGAAGCTAAGTGCTTGCTGGACTTTTGCACAGCTCAGAATAAGAAGGACCCATGTTCTAGGGAATGAGAGAGATGACAAGAGGGCTACATCTGGAGTACAGAGTTAATAAAACCCACACAGAACTCTAGTGACAGTTGTATGTAGAGCTCTCAGTTATGACAAAGGCTGGAAATTATCTTTATCTCTGCCTTTTCCTTCCCCTCAGTAGCCTGATTAGTCTCCTGGTGAAAAGGTAAAGGGGTTTTGAGCAAGGACTAGAATTAGGGTGAGGCTTCAGAAAATTGAAGTGCATATAAGCCAGAAGCACATACAAGCTAAGAAATAGTTGTTTTTAGAGTCCTCAAGGAGGCTGAGGTCTCAAGTTCATCTTGATCTGTAGCTCTTGTTTTCATTCCATTCACAGATCTGTGCTCTGGTGAATAGCAGAGGAGGCATGTGCTAAATCTGGAGTTAGGCTGGGATTCAGAAATGTAAAGAACCTAAAGGCAATTGATGGTTGGTGTCTACAGAGCTCCTAGAATTTGGAAAAAGATTTGTGTTGGTTTATGCCTTTTTCTCCCCGTGCTTCAAGTTGAATAATCCTGGTAAATGGCATAGGAGGTGTAGAGACAGTTTTGGGTCTTGGGTTATGGTTCAGAAATGTAAAGCCCATAGAAACCAAGCAATTGTTGGCGTATTCAGAGCCCTCAGAGTGTAGCTGGAAATGCACTACACTTGTTCACTGCTCTGCTAACTCGCTTATTTTATACTCACATAACACATTTCTTATTTTTCTTTTTGTCCATTTTACAGGCCTTACAGAAATTTGACTCCTCAGAATCTCTCCTGACTGTTACAAATTTACAGGTAAAAAAAACCTGAAAGAGCTAAAAATCTTATGCTAGATATAAATATTTATTCCTCTGGCATCAGTAAGAGATTATGTGGTTCAGAAAATATACTTGTTTTTGGTAAAAAACAGTCAATAGAAAACACATTCTCCTCAACAGTTTACCATTTCCTAAATTTTAAATTTTATGGCTGATCTCTCAAGGGAGAGGCAAGTACCATTATCACCATTTTTCAGATGGGAGACCTAATATGTACAAATCTGTGACTTGTCTGTGCAAAGCATACTCATAGAATTATTCAGGTTTTGTCATGATACGTTTTTACGGTACAGCTTCTTTTCCACATTCTGCAAGCAAAAAAATAATTGATGAAAAAAAAAGGTGAATCTGTAAACCAGTTAATGAACGGCCATTTCTCATTTTAATTAAAATCATATATTAATAAATGACTTCTTTTTTGGTTTTCAGTTTCAACATTTTTCTTTCATTTGCCTTGTCATAGATCCATTGAGCCAGTAGAGGTAAATGTTAGCAGAATGTGGAAAAGAAGATGTACCATAAAACGAAACAGATAAAGTAGAAAACCCCCACTTTTTTCTTCCACTTTTCCTCTCTTTTGTTTACAGTAAGCTTGTGTGTCTCCTGCAACAGTTGATATTAGAAGACAGAAATGAGATGTCTATCCTGACAGCTTTTGATCTCACTAGTTTCAGATGTATTTTGAAGTTGTGCTTTATACTGAGCTTTTGGTTTGAGCACTTCACAGTATATATGGGGCTCTTACTGTTCTCCTCATGATTTTGCAAAGTTGTGTAGACTTTCAACTTCTAAATTTATTAATCTAAAGTGAGAATAAAACTCAAGATAAAACAAGGATTCTGTAATGAATAACAAAAAGGTTCTATGAAATACGCTGGAATGGTTTGATACAATAATTTTTTACCTTGCTTAATCTTTCTCTTTAGGGTGAATAACAACAGACTTGAGTTGGGATTTCTGAACTACAGATTTACCTACATATTTTTTGTGACCACCTTAGCTGAAAGAGTGCTATGGACAATGCAGAAAACTAGAACTCCCACAGAGTAATAGCTATAACTTCATAGGTGCACCTCCTACTGGAAAACTGATCACTGAGGCTGTAGCAAGTGCTACCAAGGGGTGAATTAAGTTTGGAAAGGAAAAAAGCAACTCATCCATAATGGCTAAGAGCCTGTTACTAATATTATTCATTAATTTTTGATAAATATAATTATTAATAGAAACAGAATATGACTTGAACAAGGAAAATGTAAAATACGTAATTTCAAGTAGTCCCAATTGTTAACTTTCTTGTAGGTGCTGGAAGACATATTTAATTGGAGTCTGTCTTTAACAATGGTGCCACTGTGCAACCAAGAAATTATGAATAAATTAACCTTATCCAAAATGCATTTCATCATTTGCCTTTCTACTACAATAAATAATATACCTGAAAAAGTGGAAAGCCATGTTTATTCTGTTGATAACAACAGCTTGAAGGAGCCAAGCAGAATTACAGCATCAAAAGTAAAAGGTAATTATAAGGGTGGTGGAAAAGTGCATTTATTCTGAAACGTGTTTCAAGCAGAGTTTTCCACTTTTAACTGCATATGCATTAACATGTTATAAACAATACTCATATTAAATGTTGCTGAAAAATCAGTCATTATTGAAATAATAAGCATAAAGATTTTTCAAGGTTTGTTTAGCTAATATCTCTAATATTATTAAAGCTGTATTCCATTCTTCCTGACTTACTTTGATATTGGAAGTCCCAACTATAAATAGAGAAAAAAGGAGCATATTCTTGAAATTACTGAGAATGGTTTGGTTCTCTGTGTGTTATCTGAAATTTCATCTGAAATGTATTTGACAGTTGATGCTGATAAGAATTCAAGACAACAGGAACAAAGAGGCACAATGGTGCATCTCGTTGACTGTAAAGATGAATTAAATATGGCCATGCTGAAGGTAATTTTGTTTTTTAGGAAAAAAGGCTTAAGAAACTGCAGGCTGTTTCAAAAACATTGCTAATGCTTTCAGTGTAGCAGAAATTTTGGTGGGAGGATGGCATGAATAAGGGGACTAGAAATTTCTGTTTCTAATCTGATTACAATCTTACTAGCCATACATGAAGTCCTGGTGGTTTGGTGCAGTGTTTCAAATGGTCTAGTTTATCCTTTATAAATGTCCATGGGAAATACTGTCACAATCAGATCTCAGTATGACTGTTTCAGCAACAAGGGTAAAAGACTGAATGGGATTTCAAGGATGAAATCATCTCCTTTCAGAGGTGGTGCCTGTAGAAAATGCCAGAGACTCTTTGATGGTGCAGTATGCTCTACAAATAAATGGAAAATCACTCTCTACCACATGTGAAATGTCTCAAATTTTTCGTGTTCCTCTTTCTGATACTTTATTTTACATACATAGTATGTAAAATAGTATGTACATAGTATGTTTCTCATCCTTCTGATTTTTCTTTGACCATTCTATTCTTTTGTTTTTTGTTTTTAAGTAGAGCTCTGAATTCATTGAGTAAACTGGTCAAAAAAAGACACTGGATGGTACAAACTTTTGAATTATTTTTTAATTCTGCTGAAAGCTCCATGATTGAGATTTTATTTAAAATTAACTTTCTTTTAGATATGGTTTTCACAGCTTCTTACAACTTTGTTTGTCAGAAAGACTGTAAATTACAGCTGAACTTTCAGGATGCATACTGCACTGAAGGATCTGTCAAGAATGTAATACTTCTTGCAACATCTTTAATGTTGTATTTTAATATAGTATTTTATTGCTTAAAATTGCTTAACATAATAAGTATAGTATAAAATTATCGATTATAGCTATAAGATAAAGATAAGAATGAACAATTATTGAGTAATATTGCTGTGCCTTAAAATATGTAGTTAAGCATAACTTGCAATAGTACAGGCACAGTTAGGATGTTGCTACTTTCAAGACATTGAATCTGTAACCCTGAAAAAAGCTAAATTGCCCCCTCGTGCAATTTATAGAAAAGGCATATTGTATTCAAGTTCATTTGTTTTAGGGTGCAGCGATAGTAGGTTATAATGGAATACAATACTTTTTAAGAAATTTTTTATTTCTTTCATCATTTTTTGAAATCAGATAATGCCATGTTCTTCTCTAGGGGATTTTATTGACAGAAGCTGAAGAAATTCTTAGCCAACTTGTGCAGAACATAGAGGACAAATACGATGGGCAGATATCTCAGTGTTCTGCTGAAGATTTAGAGGCTCTTATTGAGGCCAAACTTCAGCTTGCTGCTATTTCTCAGCAAAGGCATCAAGCAGCTTTCAGGTAAGTAATATTATGAACAACTTTATGTTGCACAGCCTCAACTACAGATGATTAAAAAAAGGAATCCAGAAATTTTTTCTTTGAATTCTTCATGTTTTCATTAATATTCTAAATCTTAGTAACCAGCCATAACAACCCCCCTAGAATATCTACAAATGTAAGTTATACTGACATTTAATTTTTTATTATTGCTTTATTTTACTTTTTAAAAGATCATCAGTTATTTGCCTATGATTGTGAGGGGGTTTTGTGATAGTATTATACAAAATGAAAGAAAAAGCTGCAATGTTCACTGTTTTTGTCAAAGTATAAGTCTGGATACGATAGGTAATGCATTTTTTCTAATTTTAAATTTTACAGCAGAGCACTAATGTTATCTCTGAACTACTGAATTCTACTTTGCTCTAGAATGCCCTATGTTACTGTCCTAAAACAACATTTCCTCTTGATGTACTTCTGCTGTCAAATTAAAATGTTAAAATTATATTGTTAAAATTAATTGGATTAAAAAGCATTGATGTAACATTTAACATATTAGAATGGATTTTAGCAGGCATTAATTATATTGTTAGTAATAGTGTGTAAAATACTGTAGTAATTACATGATCTGCCAGATATTTTCTCCAAATTGTAATTTCCAAATTCTGTGATTTTTTGAGGTTCTGATTTCTTTTGGAGAACTTAATGAAATTACAGTTGTGCTGTTCTTTGAATATATGGGGCATATAGAAATATATTAACTCTCTGTAGATGTTAAATTCTGAACCTTTTTTTGATCTTTTAGCTAGGAGGGTTCTTCCGTTTGGCATACCTGTAATTTTAAATTACTTTGTATAAGAAGGATAATAGTTTAAAAATACATCATTTTTATTAGTGTCAAGCTCTTTTTATCTAATTGCTTATTAGGTTGAAAGATCTTTGAGGTACAAATTGTTAACTAGAGATGCAGCATATAGAGGTGTAGCACTGTCACTTGCCAGTCTATGTTGAGATTAGGTAGAATTTAATCAGTATTTGTAACTTCTGTTAGGTCTAATCTGACTCAACACATCAAAATTATTACAGTAAACCTTGAATTACAGTAAGCACCAAGCAAAATGAAAAATTAACATTTTTTCATTGTTGGAATACTGTTGAAGATTGCTGTAGCACTCTTACCAATGAAGTGGTAGGTGATTCAGCTGGGCAACAGACAAACCAGTCTCAATGCGTTTGTTAAACTTTTTACCCAATTAACAAAAAAGAAATATTTTCTTCTATGCCAAAAGCAAATTATCTTCCTTCTCCCAGCTGTCTTAGGTGAATAAACAAACCACCAAATTAGATAGCCTTTATACAGCACAATTCCTTTTTAGCTGCTATGGTACAGCAATAAAGAAAAATAAAATTAACAAGGACAGGAGCTTCACAGTGCTGTATAGACTACTGGACTGAAAACAGTAAGAGTACTGCAGCATGGTCCTTCACTCGGCTTTTGTTTATGTTATTTTATAAGACAGAAGTTTCCCAAAAGTTCAGATATTAGGACGGTAATAATTTAGTAGTAATGTCATTAGTGAAGATGTGAAGTAAGAACTTGTAGGCTATTTGTGGACATTTCTCATAATGTAATATTAATCTATTTCAGTGCCTTTTGAAATAGAGTAATTTACCACAAATTTGTCAAAAAGAGCCCAGCAAATCACTGGGCAGTGACCGCATCATGCTTTTGAATGCCATGTGGATTTTATTAAATTATCATATTAGTAACTAAAGACCAGTATGCGGACTTAGGAAATATCCTGTGCATAGACCCAGTTTAGCTTTATATTAGGCTTAGTGGAGTGCTGACCCAGACTTTCTCACCATGCTAAACTGGTTCCACAATGCAAGCCATTTTCAGTGCAGGACCGTTCTTTTTCAAATGCAGTTATACCCTGGAGTGTAGTTTCTCTCTTGGCTTATAACTTGTGTCAGATTGGAGAAAGTTTTTTTTAGAGTATCAAAGGTTCCAATGGATGTCAAGCATTTTATGGATCATATTTTTGGACTCTCAAATTTTTGATGGATGTTTAGTGGGCCTTATATATTGATAGTGGTCAGATAGCAGGAAAAAAAACCCAACAAACAAAGCAAGGGTTTGGGTTTTTTTAACCTATTTTACAGTTTTATTGCACTGCCATCCATGGAAACTGCTGATATGTCTGCCTCAGACACAAATGAAACATTCCTTCGGACAGCTGAATGTTTCCTGCCTGCCAGCCTAGAAATCAAACTTTGCATGATATTACAGAAATTCATCATTTTTTTCCTTTGGCGAAATGACTTAGTGGTGAAATTGTTATAGTCAGCTGTACTTTCCTATTTTGATCATCTTGTCACTTTCTGATTCAGCTGATAAAAGGATGTGTATTTTGTCAAGGGAAATATACAGACACATCACTCTTGCTGACAGCAGAAAAGGGTCACAAAAATTTCATCAAGAGAAGCTTCTACATTACAGCCTCTGTCTTGCAAAAAAAATTATGCCTCAGAATAAGTTTATGTGTAGGACTAATTCCATTGACCTCAAGGAGAGTACTTAAATGGGCATGTGAGGTTTCCAATTACCCAAATATATGCTTGTCTGCTTATGTGAATACATTACTGCTTAAAATAATACATATATGTATCTTTGGGCTTGTGGTCTACATTCCACTCATGAAATTTATATGTAAGCATGCAAGTAAAAATGTTGAATCTTGACAACGGCAGTCAACTGTTGGCAGTGGTGCTCAGGAAGTTAGGTTAATATTCCTTAAAAGCTTGTATATACTCTTGGGTGCTGCACCTTCTCTGACTTGCTTGAGAAATGTTAGCCATAGCATCTCAAACAATGTTTTGAAAAATGTCAGGTTTTGCTGTAATTTTAACTTTGATGCCGGGTTTCAGGGGAAAAGTCTTCTTAATAAAAAGAAAGAAAAGCAGTCGGGATATTTCATTGTATTATCCTAACTGTCTCTTTTGCTTTTGTAAGCAAATTCTATTTCCTCTTTTCCATTGTTAGAGAGAAGGTTATAACAAATTCAACATTGATTTATTCTAGTTATATTTTGTGGAATAAAACTGAGGTAAAGGGATGATGGAGATTCATAAGGATTGAATTCTGAGAGCTGAAAGGCAAAATATTAACAGTTTTTGTTCTCATTGTTACTTTGGGGTCTATTTGTGCTGAATTGGTGTAATCCATCCAGTTCTGCATCACAAAACCAGCAAGCAGGATAGAATCAAAACTGACAGGAACACTTTAACTACTCTCTTATCTCTGGAGGTTATCTATCCTGTGGTTAGATACATGTTGGCAGAATAATGTGAGTAATTTCAGAGTAATGCTGCTCTTATTCTGAATTCTTTGTGCATGAATCAAGAACTTTGCCTTTACGACAATTAATCTAGAACTTCTCAAAAGCAGTAAATTCACACAGAGCCTGAATCTTTCTTGCATTGAAAGATCTTCACAGTCATCTGGCTATGTAAAAAGGACTTGTGGTGTTCGTAAATTATTTTTTCCTTTGCTTCATAGCAGCCAGTCTCTATGTAAAGAGAGTCTCTCTATGTAAAAAGACAAGCATAGATGAGAACTTTGGTTATACATTTTTAACAATTAACCTCCTACCCTCAGGTACTTTTGGATCATTAGGAAGATATGTTTCAGTGGGAAGAGAGTAAGTAGAACTATAAAAAAAACCAGTCAACCCCAAAAATGTTTTAGAGAAGAGGTAGAAGAGTAGAGATTTACAGATGTAGGGGAAAATGTACAATTAGAGATGGAAAACTAATACCATGAGACGTTTGTTTTGGCAGTTCTCAGAATATTTTGAGTAGTGTGTTCTTTGGGCAACAAATCCTGTTGTGAAAAAGATCTTCTCACTATATTGGTTTTGCAAGTGTTTTCATATCATGAAAATAATAGTATTCATAAAGTCTGCTGTTGTAGATATACATGTCTATAGATGTCATGAAAATTGAACTGCGTATCTGAAAGCTTTAAAAAGACAGCATAAGAAGGAAAAAACCCTATTAGTTACTATTTTAAGAACCCTGAAAATATTTTGGCATTACAACTCACAGTTTTTTGAAATGTGGGGTTGAATGCTGCACCAGTCCTAACAATGTCTGTATCTTTCCGGATGCTGTTTGGAGTGAACTCCAGAAAAGGCTTTATGATTGGGGCGGGAGGCAGCAGACTCAATGTTGTGTGATTGCTTATGAAGTTTTGCCAGGGTGGCACCTGGCTCAATTTTTGGTTGAAGGTGTTTACTAAGATTCTGCGAGTATATGGTCACGTGGATTTAACAGAAGGATTAACATCTAGTCTGGAAAGGCTTTAAGGAGGAAGTTGTTTCTTACCTCTCTAGCTGTGGATGAGTTACGGAAGTCTCCTAATATATTTTGTCATTTTCAGTATTTTTACATCTTCTAATTTCTAAAAGCCCGTCCCTGAAGAAAGGCATGTGTAACTGAAAGTTATAGTGGAGTCCTGTTTTAGTGGAGTCCTGTTTTGATGGCTCCAACATAATGTGATATATCTTGGTTTATCTATTATTATCAGGTTATGTCTGTTATTGGCAAAACTTTTTCTCTTATTGCTTTCTCACTTTCATACTGCAGTACCTACAAATTCAGAATATACTCCAAGTGCAATTTTTTTTTACTGAAGGAAAAATTGGTAACTGCTGATAGACATCTCTGACATTTTCAGAAATTAAGTATCTATTATAATAAAAGCATAAAATGGCAAATATTATTATTATTTTTTAATAATATTTTTCTGTATTACAGTGTTGCTTTGGTGTTCTCTGCAATTCGACTTCTCCAAGATGCAAAAATTTTTAGGATGGAAGCGACATGTGTTCAAGAAGAAAAGGATGAAAGGGAGTGTGCGGTATGTAAGGCTGTTTGTCTTTAGCTATTGTTTCTTAGTGTATGAATCTTGTATTAAGTGTTGAATGATTTTCAGAATACTAGAACATAGCAGTGATCTGTATTATGTGGCTACCATTAACCTGGGGAGAAGATGATGTATGACATGCTTCAGTTACCTGCTTGCCTGTAATATATTCAGTATGTCTATAATCATCATTTTAATTTGGATGTGGTTAGGAATTACCGTTTTTATTTGGATACCTTCAAATGCCAGCATTGAAAATCTCCTTTTTTAAAAAAAAACCCAAACAAACAGAAAGTGCAAAAAATAGCTATGAGGTGAAAAATCTTCTATTATTCACTTAAGGTATTTTAGATTTTTTGATTGAAAACCTACTTCAGAGTATCCTCTTTCCAAGACCCAATAGACCAGTTCACATCATTTCTGTGTTCCAAATTCAGCAAGATTTCAGTTGACTTCTGTTGTCGAACACATAGGGTTAATGACCTATACTTTGGAAAGCCAGTGTACAAACCCTATTGGTAATACACCACATAGTCACTCTCAAGCAGACAGTAAATCAAACTGACTCATGTGCAGAGAGCAACTGAGCAGTGAGGCCAGATTTTGTAACATGCATAATGAGACTGGACTTTCTTGCATGCAGTGCAATTATTCTCTCTCTGTGTCATATATCAGGGTCTTCTGTCTTTCTGTACTTGCTCCTACATTTTCTTAGGACTGTCCCATAGCCAGTAATTGATTTATGGCTAATTTTTTTTCCCCATTTACATGAAGAGCTACTGGAGAGAGTCCAGCGGAGGGCTACAAGGATGATGAGGGGACTGGAACATCTCCCCTACGAGGAGAGGCTGAGGGAGCTGGGCTTGTTCAGCCTGAAGAAGAGAAGGCTGAGAGGGGACCTTATAAATGCTTATAAATATCTGAAGGGTGGGTGTCAGGAGGATGGGGCCAAGCTCTTTGCAGTGGTGCCCAGTGACAGGACAAGGGGCAATGGGCACAAACTGAGGCACAGGAAGTTCTGTCTGAACATGAGGAAGAACTTCTTCCCTCTGAGGGTGACGGAGCACTGGAACAGGCTGCCCAGGGAGGTAGTGGAGTCTCCTTCTCTGGAGATATTCAAGACCCGCCTGGACAAGGTCCTGTGCAGCCTACTGTAGGCGACCGTGCTTCGGCAGGAGGGTTGGACTAGATGACCCACAGAGGTCCCTTCCACCCCCTACTATTCTGTGATTCTGTGATTCTGTGATTTTTTGTATGAGTAAAATACAGGTGGTGCAGTGTCCATTTATTGCTTGCTGGAACAAATCTGTAGAATATAGACTGTAGAATTTTAGTAATAGAAAGACTGTTTAGAATATGTGAAGATAGCACAGGGAGTTGAGATGAGAATTCTCCCAAACACTTCCAGTACTATATTACTTTAATATTTGTTTCTAATCACCAGAAACACTAAAAACTAAAAATAAAATTTAAAAATTTCTTTCTAATCACTAGTGAGGTGCAGGAACTTGATATTGATCCTGTTCTACAATTAGACTGTTATGTGCCGTAGAGTTTTGTGTAATGCTTCTGTTTGAAAGGAATAACGTCCCAACTGTTAGAATTATTCTCCGTGACACGTATAGTATATGGATTTATGGACTCTTCCATAAAGCCTGGTTTAATTTCCATTTGTTACAATTCTTTTTTTTCCTATAGATTAAAAGTTAAATAATAATGGACTCCTGTTATTAATAAAATATGTGTCTACCCTTCAAATAAACTTCTGGTTATAATTATGTTATTATTTGTAAGATATTTGTCTTAATTTGATTTATTTTAGACTGATGCTGCCTTATTGCTTTGTTTGTAGTAGTTGACTCAGAAAGTAACATATCTACTGCTTTTGGAAATTATTAGGGCTCGTGTGTTGAAGATGTTCGACTGCCTCACAGTATAACAGCACAAGATCATATGAGCGTACATCTGTGGCTAAGGTGTCGTACAATGTTAGTGACTGCACTAGTAACACAGATATCTGGCGTTGGTGATATGGAAGGTATTAGACTTTTTTTATTTAGACTTTTGGAGTATAACGGGCAAGTGAGCCTATTCAGACACAATTCTTACTCATAAATAAAAAATATTAACATTAATTCTGGGGCTGTGTTATCACTGAGCAATTACTTGTATTAATTTCATCCAATGCAAAAATGAAAATATATTTCTGAGTACAATCTCTCCCAAGAGCATGTAAACATAAAGCATTATATTAATGTTCATTTAATGATCATTATCTTTCGAGAAATCACTTATGTGTGAAAAAGTTTCAGATGTTCTAGTATAATTAAGTTAAATAAATATGCTTGATACTTGCAGTTTTAAATCTTTTTTTCATTTTTTATATCTGCAATAAATGAAATGTTCCTATATATCTCCTAAAAATCTTCATTTCTTTTTTTAAAAAAGAATTTAAATGAGATACTACAAAATACATCTATTGCAGTTTGATGATGAATAAAATGTTTTTCATTTTTTAGTTTTATGTACTTAGTATAAAATCTGATGCTCACTTAAAGTACTAAAATCACAGTCTAGATCTGTAGCCAAACTCATATTTAATCTCTTCTGGATAATTCCTGTGAAGGCTGTTACTATTTTGGAATGATAACTAAGATCAGATTTTTGAGTATGTAGAATGTGTTTTGTGGGTGAGAATGACATCTGATCCACAAAATCTAATTAGCTATGCTGGTGGCTTACATATAAAGAATGTATTTGGATGAACTTAAATCAAGTGCAATTTAAAAACAAAGTGGGTTTTCTTTCTCTTTAAAGTAAATTTGGCACAGAATTGATGAAGTGGTAAATGTGGAATCTATAATGTCAGATTTTCTGTAACTTTGTAGTGTGGAAGTGACTTCTAAAGAATGGTAGAAGATACCATAAACTCTTTTCTATTGTATTTTTACTATTGATATATTCTCTTCTTTTAGAAAAAGATGTGGCTGAACGCAGAAGCCTGATAAAAGAAGTAATCCTAGAGGCAGAATCCTTTGGTGATACTGAGACTCAGGCTGAAATGATGGTGCAAGCTGCTATTGTTGACCTGCAAGAAAAACGTCCCGTGGCAGGCATTAAACTTCTTTTGGAGGTTTGAGCACAAAGGAGAAACTGTTCACTTTTCTTTGATGCATTTTCATGTCGTCAGAACAGCTGATGCCAGCATTAAATTAGCTTGAAACAGTGCCTCTAAAATAGGGATGTTTTTTCACTTTGTGTGATTTGTCCTCATAAATAGACAGCAAAAGTAGTAACTACTTTGGTGTATGTTGTCTATGTCCAAACAGGATATCATCAGTTTACTCCAAGAGGATACATTTATTTCCCCTCCAGCTTCTTTGACTCTTGTGAAAAGTATGCTTCTGCTGGCAGACATACTAACACTGCAAACAGCAGAGGATACAGAACATTGCTCTTCTACAGTGGAACCATTAAACTTGCTAGTTTTGGCACATGAGCTTACCATTAAAGCAGTGAGTATATGTTGGTGACTTACACAGCATTTGCAAATTCTTCCAATAATCTTAATTATCTACTCCAGAAGCTATTTTAACAACTTATTAAAGAGGGCTATTCCTATTAACCGATCACTTCAATTTTCCCTAGATTACATAGTGTAAAGAAGTATTTCATCTTACCAAACTTATTTATGCACACTCATCATGCATACTCATGTATGTAGTCCAGTATTTTCCTACAGTTTAAGAATATTGAATACTTGCAAAATATACGTGCATATGTGAAAATAGAAATAGGTAGTTTGACTTTTAAAGAGCTGAGGAACACCCACTTTTCCCATTTGAACTGTGGGATATGTTCGTACTGAGCACCTCATGGAAGATGTACATCTCAAAATTCCTAACTCTTAAGCATCCACATTTAACAATTCAGCTTTTTATCTTAACTTAGAATAATTTGAATTAGAAAATATGTATAAAGTAGCATATTGTTTATGATGTTTTAGATTAACAGATTGTTAAAACCAGTATGAAGAAATAATTTCCAAGTAAAAATTTAAATAGGCAATAACCCCCAAAATATCTAAAGACATGAAATATGTGAGAGGAACACATAGTAATAAACTAGATACTTATTTGGTGATCAAAAAATTGATAGGCACTTCTGCAGTCTCCACCTGTTCTTGATACAGTTTATAAAGAAAGGCTTTTGGACCAAATTCTTTCCTCGTATTTCCTAATACAGGAGTTTAATCCATTTAAATGTTTGTTCCCCCAAGTAATAAAGAATCATATGAATCACTTCAGACTCAGACTTCTGCTTGTGAGACTTGCTAGCCTTCAAGAGACTGAACAGTTTACAGCATGTCTCCATCGCCTTATTTCCATGAATGAAAAGTTTGACTGATCTATACATGTCATTTTCATTTTCTTTTCTGGCCTTTGCTGGATGGCAGATTTCTTTGTAGAAATGACAGTTTCTTTCCAGGGCTCGGGTTACTTGGGAGATCTATTTCTTAAAGACTGATTTGAGGGAATTTGCTCTAGAATCCAAAGCCTAACATTAATAAATTTGATCAAGGGTTCATTGAAATTGTTCATTTACTACCAAACTCCTCTGCAAAGAAGACAATTGCAAACTGAAGTAAAGGAGTTTAGGAGTATCAAGCCCTTTTCTAGTGCTCTTTTACAAGACACATTTGAGTTCCAGGGTTTTGCAATACCTAACTTTAACGAACTACTATTTAATTTGCTGTCTGCAACTTGATATTAAAAGCATAACCTTTTCATAGGTTTTTGTTTGTGGAGAACCCATTGAATGGCAAATAGAAGACAGTACATTGCCTTGCCTGGTCCTACCTACAAAAAATATCTACTTGCCACATATCAACTTGCTAGCCCAAGTCAAAATGAGAATTGGTAAGAAAAATGCAAGACATTATTATTTTTAATTATTCATTCAATTTCATGCATATTTTATGCGACAGCAGATAAACTGATTCATCAGAAGTGAATTTAGTAAATCAACTGTTTTCATATACAAACAAAATATTTTGAAAACCAACAGTGGATGCCTGTTGGGTTCCATGCAATGTGTATAAGGAAGGTACAATTCTTACAGGAACTATAATCAACAAAGGCTTAAATATTAATGTTATAGCTTGATGAAACTAATGGGAACTTCAGTTTTTTTAAGTGGAAACTGAGAATACTTTTCCAACTTCTGTACAAAGCATTTATTATATGGAAACTTCCTGTATATGTTCCATCTCTCCGGAAGCAGTTATATGGGAACTAACTAATGATATCAAATCATAAAGGTAATAGTGATAATTCTCTATCCCAATAAAATACGTAGTGTCTGTTATTGTTGTCACCCTTTAATTTAACAAATTTTCTTGATAATCTTTCTTTATATACAAACTTGGAAATATGCTGAATAGTAACAGAGGGTGACCTTTAAGATCTGTCTGAGATTTGTTGCCATATAGCAAATATAGGGAAAGGGATATAGTCTCCATGTTACTTCTGGTAAACTTAATTTGGTGTATATCTGACTTACAATTCACTAGAAAATCTAGAAATCATTTACTGCACTTTGGTTCAAATTGTGGAGCAGCCTCAGAGTGTTGTAGATTCTTTTTCAGGAAGATGTGTTCCATTGGTGCACCCCAACCACTACTTTGTATTTAGCCTTTAGGATTAGAATAGAGGTAGTCCAAAGTAAACACTCTGAAATGTATCTGCTGTGGCTGTCAGGTCTTCAACACCGGCTGGTTTGCTTTAGAGATCCACTCTTACTGTGCTTTACTGCTTGTCAATGCAGGCATGGCCAGAATCACTCATAGTAATGGCCACGTTTAACCAGTTCCTGTTTCTGAATCCACATTTTCAGGAAGAGTCTATGAATACAGAGGAATACTGGGGAGTACAGTGTAGGAGGTATGCAGTACATCAAAGAAGCCTTTAGGACTAGTTAGTAAAAAAAGAATTTGGGAATTTGGAAGTGCTCAGGAAAGTTTAGATTTTGCCTACAACTGCCAGGTGAAATAAAGTTATGAAGTGGCTTTCTGCTAGTCTTTCCAGACAGTTTGTGAAAGGGTTGATTTGTGTAGCCTGAGCTTCTTTTGGAAGGCCTAGGTAAACCTCAATGGCATCACAAAGTTGTGAAGCAACATTATAGTTCTGTATTTATATCCATTAAACACTCGGATTTTTGAGAATTAGATTGTAACAGTAAATGTGCAACAATATTTGTTTTAAGAAAGTTGCTTTTTTTGCATAAATTGGTTTTCTATTTAATAATTTACTAAGAAAGAACTGTATTTTTTCTTTCCTTAGGATGCACATTAGCTGAAAAAGTAGCTTGTACGCCTGAAAGAGAAGATCCACTGCAATGGCTACATGCTCTCAAACATTTAGAATCAGCATTGATGCTTTGCAGAGCATCTGCAACAAAAAAATTAGATATGGAAGCTGAACTTCTTTTTCAGATAGGTAAATAAAACCCTGTTTATATATCATGATTGCCTTCATAGGCAATGTTATGCATGTGGCCTCTTCTCACCCTGTCTGGCTGCAGATCTCTCTCCTGTGTTTAGTATCACACCAACATAGTTCAGGATGCATTCCACAACAAATAATTTCAAAACTGCAGTAGAACTTCTCCCACCTCTGTGTTATCAGGGATCAAAGGGTGTAGCCAATGAAATTAAGGACACTGTAGACAGCTAATTAGCTTCTCTGCGTCAGTCTGAACTAAAGAAGATGAGAGGCTCATATAGTATTTCTAAATTATTTAACAAAGCTAATGAATTACACAGTGTTTGCATGCATTTGGATTTTAGTGGCATTATGTTTTGCAGCAGGAGGTGCTGGTTTGTTAGAATTCCAGCCAGAAAGGCACTCAGACTCTTTAAAGTATCTCTTAAAATGCTGTTTATTGAAGTTAACTCTATAAAGAAGAAGAGGATAGTGTAAATAATCCTGTGTCCCTTCAGATGCTGAGAAGCCCAAGTTGTGCAGTATTTAATGGCTTCTAGTCAGGGTGTAGCACAACACGCAGATCCTGTCTGTGGAAAGGTTGCCTTATTTTGGTATTCTGAGCTGTTAGAGGATTTTCTTAAAAGAAAACAATTCTGTTCATAATTTCTACTGTCAAACAAAAAGCATATTAGCCTGGACAAGGTCCTGTGCAGCCTGCTGTAGGTGACCCTGCTTTGGCAGGAGGGTTGGACTAGATGACCCACAGAGGTCCCTTCCAAACCCTACCATTCTGTGATTCTGTGATTCTGTGATTCTGTGATATTCATGTAAAAACTCCTTGCTTTACAGAAAGGGCAGGTGGTGTAATCACTGGTACTGAGGAGATGCTTCCAGTGGCTCCTCTGTTACAGCTAGCTGCTGCATTGGGCCTGCGGCTACGGGGTGTGCGCAGCAGAACACACACCTGAAGGCCACGCTGTGTGTGCAGCACAGCGCAGCACAGAGCAGGCCTGTGCCTGTGCATTATCTCCTCCATGCACAATGGCCTTCTAGTTAGGATCACTGCACGTTAGGAGTCATCATGATTCCAAAGTTTGATTAGTTTAGCAACTCTATGAAGTAATTTGCTTTATAAGCATTGTGCATTACATTTTAAACAAACTGGACAAGATTTTGCATATCAGGAAGAGAGTAGGTAATGCACTATGTTGTTCAACTTTCCTGGAGGGAAAAACAGGTTGGGTCTTACAAAAAAAAATCTTGCAAATCTGCTTTCAATATTTCTTTCTTAGGTAAGGTAGAACGCCAGATAACGGAAGCAAGCAATAGCAAGTCATCTCAAGCTGTTGAAACCCTGTTGGAAGCTATAAAACTCAGCCAGCAACAGGACCAAAACTTTGAGTAAGAAACTAGCTATATAACTTTCAAAATAATTTTAATCACACATGAATGTATTTTTTTGAGTTTTCTGAGATTTGGTGTGAGGCTTCTATTATGAAGCATCTTTTATGTTTTGGAGAGTTTTCTTCTATTGCAGTATAGGACAGCTACTGTGTATTTATTCTCTTATTTAAAACAAATACTGAGAACATTTAAAAGCATATTTTAGAGTATACAAAGTTACAGCTTTCTGTTCTATTTCCAAATTTTTGTACCCTCTCTGTCAACACCAGGAAGAGAGCTATCAATTAAAATGGGGTTTTATTCATATTTCAGAGGATGAGCTGTGGTCTGCCCCCTTCCAGATAATAGAAATCCAGCTTGAAAAGGTTAGCAGCCAGGAACAGTCAGAACAGAGGCAGAAGGAGCGTAGGAAATGTGTTTGTAACAGATATCAGGACAGTGACTTTGGCATTAGTTATCGGCATAGAAGATGCCTGAAGAGCAGAGCCAAGCCAGCCAATAAATTCTGTCAAGCAGCTCTGATACATTGGACTTCGGGTTTTTTTAGTTTCTTGACTAGTCTTAATGAATAATGTGCCATGTCTGGTTACAGACAGTGTAAAGGCAGCAATTTACCTTGATTGTTTGGGTATTTTGTTACTTAAGTTAATGAACCAGAACTCTGAGCATAGAAGCTGTAGCATAGTAATAAACCTCTACAAGCAGTCAGCATGATGCAAGAAAGTATCGAAATGGACTGTGGTGATGTTCTGCAAGTTTAATTTGCTACATTCTTATTTAATTTGCTGCTGCCTTTCTAAAAGAATTTGCAGCATCGATGGACCTTCGCTTTCTTATTTTAGAGAACTAAACATCCCCATCACCTTTATACAAGCCCTCTGATATCTATGAGATTGTTTAATTAAATTTGTTTCTTGATGTCTCAAATCCTTTTTTGTTAGGAAGACTAGAAAGTTAACTAAATTGTCACCAACTAAATGTAGAACTTGCCACCTTCCCACTTAGTTTGCCCTATCTTGAACTGTACAGCACTCTGACTTTTGCATTTTGTTTACAGAAATCATACCAAAGCTGGAATTTCTTGTACTATATCAACAGCCAACTCTGCAATATGACTCTCTTCAGAATAGTAACTACATGAGAAGGAGTTTGTTGCTGTGCTTAGGAAAGCCAATTCATAGGGGACATCTGGAGAGAACTACAGAGCCAGGAGGAACCTGCATAAAAAGGCTGTTATAAACGTATAGGGAATAGAAATGCTGGAGAAGTTCTCCAGATATAGTGATTTTCAGTGGGTCGAGGGAATTAATTCTGCCCCTCTGCTCATTTCTGGTGAGACCCCACCTGGAGTCCTGCATCCACCTCTGGAGCCCTCAGCACAGGAAAGACATGGACCTGGAGCGGGTCCAGAGGAGGGCCATGAAAATGATCTGAGGGCTGGAACACCTCTCCTGTGAGAAAAGGCTGAGAGAATTGGGGTTGTTCAGTCTGGAGAAGAGAAGGCTGTGGGAGACCTTATAGCAGCCTTTCAATACTTAAAGGGGGCTTGTAAGAAACATGGGGACAGACTTTTTAATAGGGCCTGTAGCAATGGGATAAGGAGTAATGGTTTTAAACCAAAAGAGGGGAGATTCAGACTAGGTGTAAGGAAGAAATTTTTTACAATGAGGGTGGTGAAACACTGGAACAGGTTGCCCTGAGAAGCTGTGGATGCCCCCTCCCTGGGAGTGTTCAAGGTCAGGTTGGAGAGAGCTCTGAGCAACCTGATCTAGTGGAAGGTGTCCCTGCCCATGGCAGAGGGGCTGGGCTAGATGAACTCTCAAGGTTCTTTTCAACCCAAACCATTCTATGATGGTAAGATTTTGGCCTGGTTTATAATACTACTGTAAAAATAACTGAAAGGAAAAGGAAGTACAGGAGGAGAACAGGAACTGGTGAGCAGAGTCTGTCTGAAGAGGTATTCTGGTACAGAACTCAAAACTGAGAAGGTTCCTTAGCTAAGCCCAGTGAAGAAACAAAAGATTGTTTTGGTCACACTGGATATTTTTGCTGATTCTTGTAAGAGTCTGACTGAAGACCCATATCCAAATTCAGCCACCCATGTTTCAGCGAAACCAGGACAATGGATATATGCCTTAACTTCAGGAAGGAAGAGGAACCCATACAGATTCTGTACAGAAAGATCACTTCCCTTGTAGAATTACAGTTTTCTTACTAAACATCTGCAATTTATTTATGGAATATTTGTTGCACATGGTACAAATTATATTTGACATACTCTTAAATCAATGTGTTATTTGTTAAGCATACCATAGGGATGTTTTAGACTCACTAAGACTTTAAAACAGGATCACATGGCTTTCCAAAAGAAGATACACTCTAAGTAGATGATGAGGGCTGGATGAATGATTTATTTGTTGAGGCCGTCTGGCTAGTCTTATGCAGGAGTCAGATTGTATCATTGCAATGCTTACTTTGATAGTAACATTGATTGATCTGTGTGTTGTTTCTTACAGGTTAATAAGAAGATCATACCTTGAAATAGCACTATTATATTTGCATTTTGCCACAAATACTGGGCATGTGTCACAGACAGATAAGATGGTGCCTTCGAAATCAAACGTATGTTTTCTATCTTTTGGGTAGTAGCCTCTTCAAAGCAGGAAATATATTTCTGTTAGAACATTGTGCACCTTGCCAGACTATTACTTACAGTGACTTATAAATCATACTGATATTGAAAATCCTACTAGAAAAATCACGCAAAGAAATCATATAGTACAGCAGTAGAATTTTATCTTGCTTGATGTTATTTCTCATGTTTATTGGATTGAATTATAACATTTAAAATGTCTTCCTGTTTAAAATAGGAAGAAACAGAACCAACAGTGTTTTCATTTCTGATTACGTACTAATTAATTTGTACTTTGCAAAGAAAACATAATATTCAAAGCTGGTTTTTAGGTGGTAATATTTATACTTTACGAGATTTCAATTTTTCGGTACAAATAGGAGTGACAGCATGAGAAATGTAAAAGGCTTTAACCACCTTAAAGTGGCTAAAAAACATAGATTCAAAGCATAATGTGTAACATAAGAGAAAAGAGGTAATTAAGACTCCAGAAAATGGAAAATTATAGCAAAACTCTATACAGTAGTGACTGTAGTATGAGCTGCTCTGAGAAAATTTTTACAGGAGCAGCCAATTAGTATGCTCTGGATAGTTTTTTTCAATTTTAGCAATTAATACATGGATTCACAATCAATGCTGATTTTTACAACTTGTAAATAAAACAATAATTCTATAAGTAGGAGGACTTTTTTCTATCTTTAATATATATTTTACCATAATACATTTAGAATCCTAATTATGAACTGGGGTATAATTTTAGACCTCTTCTGGAGAACTCTCTTCTTCTGAGGAGGCTCTGAAATCAGAAGGCTACAAAGTACAAGCCTGGATTGCAGTAAGAGCAGCTACACAGGTTGGTGCAATATTCTGAAGAGGTAATTTTTTTGGTTTTTTTTTTAATTTCATCTTATCCTACTTACACAAGCAAATGAGACAAGAATTAAGGTTTCCTGAAATTTATGGCATAGGTCTTATTTGAGGAAATAAAAATGGACGCTGTATGAGTAGTGCATTTAATCTCTCTTGGACAGATCTGACTCTGTTTACCTCAACTTTGATTCAGTACAAATAAACCAGCACACTGCCTGGTATGTCTACACATGTATTTGACATGTGGGTAGACTTCAGTGGCATCCAGGTGAGGATACTTGATTTTAAATCACTTATGTAGCAATTAAGCTGTCAGCATTGATGATTTATTTAAGTATTCTATGTACCATATGTCAGAGAGGAATAGAATATTTCGCTGACTTTTAAAAATATAGTATGTTGAGTAATCAATTTTTTGTCATCATCTTGCTACTCTCAGATTTTAAAATCTATATAAATATTGTAGTGAACTGGTTCTGAATAAAATAAACATTATTTTTAGGTCAGTGAAGCTGTACTTGCTTCTCAGCTATTAATTGGAACGAAGAGTGTTAAAGAACACAGCATGAAGGATGCAGAGCAACAAAAAATCCCACAATTTGCTTCCATGGATCTTTTTGCTTCATACAGAGACTTCTTATCTGGTATTCCTTGATACCTAGTAATATTAGAACATTAAATAACTAATAAACTATTTATGCCATGTAATCTAGTAATACATTTAATATCTAATTTTCCTTTGTGAAAAATTTTAAGTCAAATTTGGAAAGTAAAAGCAAAATCCTCATCCTGCGTAGCAGTACAAAATATTGAGTAGACCGAATGGGTCTTTAAATACCAGCGTGTGCACGCACTCAGTAGGTTAAGAAAAATTGCATTGTTTGAATAGTTTGGCTCAGAAAGACAGCATGCACACACTGACATACTTTTAGAAAAACAGATGGACCTTTGTCACAGGACTTCCCCAGACTTCTAGAGTAGGTCTTGGCCCCCTATCAGTCATCATTGCTTGCTTTTCAAACGCTGATTTAGAACTGACTTTTTTCCCTAGGTATATTAGCTTTTCCTTGGAGATTTTCAGTTTTTCTTTTGATTTGGCAAAGACGAGTTGGTGTTGAATAGCTTGTCTTTCCCTGCCCCTCGCCCTGGCCCCCAAACCCCAACCAATTAAATGCTAAAAGCAACAAACTCAAAATCTTGCAAAGTTATCTGCCTAGGTACTGTATTCTAAAAGTCAAAGTCAATATAATAAAAACATTTTCACTGTCTTTCCAGTCCAATGGATTATCATTTAGAGATGCGTCCATTAGCTTGGGAGAACTTTGCCTTTGCCTGGTTTATTTCCAACTTTGCATTTATTTTACAGCTAATGGAGCTGATGAAATGGAATTTTCTGATTTAAAAAAAAATGAGCAAAACTAGGAATTCTGGGATAATGGTTGCTAAATGTTATACAAACACTAAGGCAAAATGTCTATATTTATTTTTAAACTCGGAACCATTAATTTAGTGATAAAATTTTGGTTCAGTGGCTTAATTTCAATGATCCCAGTGACTGACAAAGATTGAATTGCACTGCCTGATAGTTGCTGGCAAAGCTGAGCAATGTCTAGTTACTGTACAGTGTTTAAATTTATGTGTTTTGATTGGTTTATGAAAACAAATGTTGTATGCTAAGACTTTCCATCAATCTGATTGTTTTGTACTAGCTCCATTTGCTTATAATTACAGATTATCTTTTCTTTTAGCAAATGCAGCAGGTGTTTCGCCTGATAGTTCTGTTAGGCAATACAAAGAAGAATAGAAAATGTTGAAAAGCAATAGTAGGTCAAAATATATAACGGTAAATTCAAATAGAAATAATCAGCACAGCATGCTAAATATTTTCTGTAAAACCATTAGTGAAACACATTGTTTAAGTTTCATCTATAAACAATGTGGCCATTTTAACTAAATTCTGGTTTTACAATTGACAGCAAAATATCAGGAATAATGGAGACATTCAGATTTTGTTGAAGCACACATAATTACTTTCTGGAATTTTACTATTAGGAATTACTGTAACATAATGTTTGTTCAATTTGGAATGAGAAACAGAGCAGAAGAATTGTGTAGGCTTTTGAGAGAGCCATGTACTAATACAGTGGAAAAAAAAAATTGAATGTAAGCAGTGATACAGTGATAACTGTACTGATTTTTTTTTCCTCTTTTTGCATAAGTATAACTTTTAGGCAGCATAAAAAACCAAAAATTTTTTTAATCCGTAGTCAAGAACACATTTCATTGATAATGTGCTTTATATCTAAAAGCAACTGGATTGAAGCTAACAATAAACATTTCAGAGTACCTAACTCTTCTGAGTTCAGGTCGATATAACGGGGATGTTCAACTGCTGTAGTTAACTGAAGACTCCTAGTATTTTTTCCATTTAGTAAATATCTGCTACTGAACAATGTATAGAAATAATGGTTTTGTATTTAAATTCAGAGAAGAGAGAGCACCTTGCTCTCCTTTTAGCTTCTTTGCAAGGACCAGTCAGATTCAAGGCCATGATTTATGAAATATTTTCTTTACCAGTTCAACCAGTATTAAAGCAGAATAGGAAGAATTTTCCTCTTATGAAAAATATAACCAGGTTGACAAGTTATATTTTTAGTTAGCGATTAGTCAATTCCAACACAATGCAGAAACAGCTTTTCAATTGCAACCATTCACTTAATGTGTATTGTTGAACTGTTGTTGGGTTTGCAGATGGATACAATGTTGTCTCTGAAAGTCCCAAAGCATCTTCTACTGAAAACAAACAAATCATACAAGACAAGCAGAGCCAAAGTGAAGGAACAGGAAGTCTTGCCACCAAGGCCAGCCACAAGAAAGAGACAATAACATGGGTTCACTTAATTCGCTACCACAGTTGTTTAAAAAGACTTTATAACACAAAACTTCTATTTGGTACGAATTTTTAATTCCTTCTAGAAAACATCCATAGGCAACATAATGTTCTTGGGAGCCAACCGTGTTAGATTCAAAGGCCATCATCTGAGATGACAGTCTGATTTTGAGTTCCTTTAAATTGTATAAATGCGAAAAAATCTTCACTGCAATCAAGATTTATGTTAGTTTACAAGTGTTTTAAGTCAAGATATCATTGCGTTTTTTCATAATTATGCATAAGCCTTCATGATAGCAGGAAATGCATCCCTCAAGACTTAATTGCTATTCCTTTATTTGAAGCATTTTTTAAAAATTCATAATCTATATTTATTTTTAGTTCTAGTTACATTGCACTTAAGTCACATCAGAAATAAATCTGTCTGTTTGGAGGCCTGTTTATGAGAATTGTGTGTAGTGTAAATGGGAAGGCTGAGCATTATTGAATGTGTTTTGACTGAACCCCCAGATGTTCTGTACATACTTGGTTTATTTCACTGTAAACAAAAGATGTTAATAGATAGGAACTTTCAAACAGAGTTTGAAATCCATTAATTTCAAGGTCCTAATACTATGCATCTACATTACATCTCATAGCCAGCTGCTGGATATACAAGCGACAACCTGATAGGTGAGAATAGAACTAGACTGCACTTACAGGTGCTGCCTAGAGAGAGACCTAGCACCTCTGAAAATAACAATTTCAGAGAAGGTTGGGATTTTTCCTTGCAGCACCAAATGAAAGGAAAGTATTCCACCTCACCACAGCACTATAAGGAAAGTAAACCATCTACAAGTAGATTTCAAAATGTGCAGGTATATCTCAGCTGTAGTTAGCAATGATGGAGTCTAGGGAGTGACTCAGCTGATCAGCCACTAGCTGTTTAAATTAGAGTATTATGAGCCCTTAGAGCTTCTTTTGACTATACTGAATAAATAAGCTTAGCCATCTAGTGAACATACTGATGCTTACGCATCTAAATTTAAGTACCTAAACCTCAAAACTGCACCCCCCATTTTATGCTACTTTGTAATGTCTAGACAGAGCTTGTTTCATTATCAGATCTCCAGTGAAAAACTGCAATACAAATAGCATTACCTAGTAATATTTAAGGACAATCAGTATAATTGTTGGAAAAGCATTTATTTAATATTGAACCGATTTACCTATTTTACGATATTTTCAAAATTTATAAATATTGAGTAGCTGTAGAAACTTTACTTTTTAATGGCAAATGATAATGTAATAAAAATCTCTTTTCAAAGCTGCCCCTAACTCAGGACCTGGATCATTTTCTGCAAGAGATGGACACCTTAGTTTTGTTTTTGACACAGGACTTGTTCTACGCATAGCAGAAATGCATTCCTTTCTTAAAATACACTTGTTTGAATATTCACTGTGTTGTCTTGAGAATTTCCCGGAAGAGCTACGTGATGTAGGATTGCCATTTGGTAGGCCAGCTGATTCTTCAAAGGTATTTACTTTCTTTCTGATGTTTCAAAAATATGTATTATACTTGCATTTCAGTCAGATTCTTGCTGTTTCTGAGAGCACTACAGACGAATGACATGCATTATGCAGAGGTTCGGTACAAAACCAAAAATCCTGTGCAAGCACTGAAGGACGCAGTTAACAAATGAAATATTCTTCTGTTATTCATTCCTGCAAAAATGATCTCTATCCCATGCCCAGTGTATTTAGATCCTAGAAGATTAAGCAGAATGATATTTAAGAAGATTTTATTACTAGCTAATTAAATTGGCTGTGTTATTTGGTAGGACTGAGGCTTTTAATCTTGTAGATGACCATGTTTCATACCAAAAATGTCCTGATGTTTTCTTTGTAATTTGTATGTACAAGCCTCTATGTTGTTAATTTGGTCTATAATCAAAACATGCTTTTCAAAAAACATATAATTTATATTTTCTCAAAATATATTGAAGGCCTTGTGTGCCAATTTTTTTCACTGATTATCTGCTGGCTAGAGAATCAATCTTTTCAGATCTCTGGCTTGCAAACAGCCTTTTTGAGCTTTCAAATGTAGGCAGCTCAGACTACATTACTCAGAGGAATATTGAACTGGAATTCTGGAGTCTACACTGAGCATGGCGTATGCATTGAATATTGAATGGTAGAAGTCTTTAGAGATTCAATGTAAAAATAATTGTCTTCAAAGTTTCTCCATCCCACTTCTCACATTAATGATTATCCTAATACTAAAAAATTAAAAAGGCAGGTTACTCTTCATGGTTTATTTTTTACCTATTATGTTCAGTATTAGATGGAGACAGGGGAACCTTGAGGATTGAGAACTTGTTATCTTCTAAAAATGAATTAAAATACCTTTGTAAAAGTAGCACTTCTAGAGTTGGTGAACTTTTTGCAGTGTTGGACAGCATATCATTACTCATTTCCCAACAAAGAGCTGACTGTGCCACTGAATAAATTGTAAATATATGGTATGTGACATTTATAACAGCCATCGTATATCAAAAATTATTTTACTCTGTCTGCTCTTCTTTTGACATAATTAGTATTACACTGTCCTAGAATAATAAGCTTCAGAGCTCACTGTCATGTTCGTGACAGGTGCAAGCTGCATAATCATGTGTTAGCTTCACTGTTGTAGACAGCTAACAAGCATAAAGCTCTTACTTTTTATAATTCTAAGCTTCATTGATTTTTATCACAACATTTTTAGAAGCTTTAACTATTCAGAAGGCTGTATAAGTTGTTTTAAAAATGTTACTGTAATTTGATACTGGGATTTTTAACACTACAAATAGATACAATTTTTGAAAGAATGATTTTTATGTACAAGGTTGTTTCGCTTACATGTGTCTTTGTAATTCTATTTTTGACTCGAAGTTTTTTTCAGCTCTGCTGAACAAGGAATCCAAATTACATTAAGAAGGCTATAATTAAAATTGTGTGCCCTGTTACATTTTTCATGCTTGTTTTTTATTCCACTCCATGAAAATATGTAGAACTGGAAACACTTAACTAAGTTTGTTGTTTTCAGGCTTTTGAAAAAGTTGAATAGATAAAGATTTATGTATGTAATTCAGCAACCCTCCAGTTTGACAGGAACAGTTGTAATATCCTTCCTCAAAAAAAAAATTCAATGTGATCTAAGTAACAAAAGATGAAGTTCAGTGAAAAAGAAAACATACCACATGTTTTAGAAAGAAATATATATCATTAAATGGACTTTTAAGAGCTCTAGTTCAGGGGCACGGCATAAATTAGGTTGTTCCCACCTCCATATAATATGTATTTTCTCATAATTTTGTTCACTCTCCATGCCAGCAGGATAGTGAGTGATTCATTGCCAAAACTAAAGTCTAAGATCCCAAATGTAGAAGATCCTTGTAGTAGGTGGGTGATCCATGTGCACCTCATGGCATACCATGGGTTATGGCCACTGTTATCACTGCCTCAGTGTTCAGAGTCTGTGTGGCATGGATCATCCCTGGTTAATTGTCCCGTGCTTTACTGAAGGCATATCCATATGCTCAAATGCATGACTTCAGCAGGCATGACATCATCTGTATCTTCACTTCTACTATATTTTGATGCACATGGGAACTGGCTTTATGAAGTAAGATTACGTCACTGTGAAAAATCCATCCTCTGTTCACCCGGATTTACTGCCCTGTGTCGGTCATGACCTGTATTTTCTGAAAATAAAGTGGGTAAAATTCCCCAGGTTTTTCCAATGATGAACATTCAAAATTAAAAAAGAGCTAACTCCCCAGGCAGCTGTTTTCAGTGTCCACGTTTTGGAATCAATGATGGAGACACTAACAACCTTTACAAATAGCTTCAGCATTCCCCCAGAGTGTCACTGTTTGGCCTCCTCTGTTCTTTGCAGATCTGTGTAACGCTTGAAAAAGTAGAAATGGTATAGCACTGTTCAGCCTTTAAAGAAAATATTTTATAATCTTAAAAAAGGCTTCTTATACATGAATGTTGGTTGACAGTATTCCTCCATTGCTTCCCTGGTAAATGATGGTGAAACTGTAACTCTTCGATGAAAAGCCTGCTAATGTTCCATATATGTTTTATTAATATGACGTATGACAAATCCTCACAAATTAAGTGACTGAATTTTCAGCAGGTATCGCCCTTTGTTAGTTGCACAGTTAATGAGAAAACAAATAAGTAAACATAAATAAAGCATTAGTCTAGCATTCAGATTACTATTTCAATTATCAATATGCAGAGCAGACAAATTACTTTTTCAGCACTAAGTTTTGTATGGTCAGCATGTCAAATAATATCTTTTAGCAAAAGCCATTGAAGCCATACGGAAGATAAGTCAAATGTAACAATTGTTGTTACTGTAGGTGTCTCCAAGTCAGCCCTGAGGTCCTTCGCACTACCTTTAGAAATGTCTCATCATGGGAACTTTGAAAAACCTTAACTTGGTAAAATGGGCACCTTTTAAAATTACCCATTTGTCTAAATAAGCATATATTTGTGCAGGAGTGAAAGTCATACCGATTCTAGTAGACACTAGATTATAACAGATATTGCATGTTACACTAGAAAAAGTACAATTCAGAACTTTCTTTTGTGTTTCAGATGTCTCCCGAAATTACTGGAATTACATCAAAGATGTCACGTGTGAGAATAGCTTCTCCGGTTTCTGTCATCGGAGAAGCAGATAGTCAAACAGAGAATAGGGCAGCCAATGCTTCAGATAAGGAAATTAACATTCAGTGGTACATTCCTTCTCTGGCAAAGCCATCAAACGATACAGAGACTAAGGTATAACTACCCCAAAGCAGTTCCTTAGGTATTGGAACAAATTAAGTCTAATTTCAAATGAACATCTGTGTTATGACTGATCAGCCTTTTAATTGAATTCTGCATATGCCAATTGGCAAGCTGGACAGCAAGGAGCTATGTATTTGCTCTGCCACAAACCTGCTATGCAGGACAAAGAGAATGCCCTTGCAGTTTTTTGGTGGCAGGCCAAAGAAAGACTTGGTTGACCATATAGAGCTTGCAGGCCACGTTGTATTCATGCCTTTTGCAGGACCTTGATGTCTTTAAGACTTCCACACTGCTGAGTTTGGTTAGAGCTGACCATTACATTCAAACGATGCTGTTTGGTGGGAGGCTGTTGGAGAAGCAAAGATACACATATACAGGGAAGACGGGATTTTGTAAACCTCATTTCCCTAAGATATCAGACTAAGCATGAATGATGAGAGTGATTGGAGGCTTGCAGGAAAGCAAGAGACTAGGACATGGAATTTGGTTTATTTTTAAACAAGGGAACAGCATGTAGGTAAAAGTTCTGCTACTGCAACGGAAATCCATCATCTCCAAACATTTTGGCATAACGGATCAGTGTCAAAATCTCTGCTAGACCCTTTTCATCTCTGTTAACAAGCTGATAGAAGCCCTGTGAAGTTGGTGCAAATAATGTACTTTTCAATACAGTTTTGCAGGTTATTTTAGCACGATCTTACAGATCATTAGAGATCCAAAGACAACTCTTGAAAATGACTAATATATGAATGCTGTATTCTTGACATGCCCCATATAGTCAAAATATTCAGCTACCACTAGGAAGTATATTTTCAATCATAATAGCAAATTAATTCAGTGAAAGATGAGAACATTCTATTTCATTTTATTGTGCTCTTATATTGAGATGTCTTTATTAGATTGGTGAGTTATGTGCACTTCATGGTTTAAAACTAGTGTGATGACAGCCAGCCACAAGGCCATATAGCAAACCTAACTAATTACAATAGGGCCTTTGGAAATCCAGTAAAAGCTCTCTGTTCAGCCTACCTGAAACTGGAAATCTGGGATTGATTGACCAGTATCAGGACAAGACTGGGATTTTGATGGTGACTCTATAGGCTATAATTCATTTTCAAAACTGTATAAATTATATCCATAATTAAATTGCTTTTAACACCTACAAAAACTGAGTATAGTACAAATTCATATGAGGCCATGCCCCCCTCTTTTTTTAAAGCCAGTTATCTAAGTCTTCATCAGTACATTGTATTTGATAGTTATTATAATCTAGCATCACTGAAATAGCTCACGCCTACAATACCATACTACATTATAGCTTACTTATTCAATCTCTTTTACAGGTTTTGCTGCTTTATGCCTATAATACGGAGCCTGTCAAGATTAGCAACACCAAGATTTTCAGTTCAATGTCTATGTCTTCAGGCCACTTGTGGATTCCGTTGGCTAGGTAAATAATCACTGACTTTGTCCTGTTATTTCATGCTATATTAAAGATCAGTCAACCATTTAGAATGAGAGAAAAAATACAAAATATCAAAGAGCTGTAAGTCTTTAAAAGCATTCATTTTCGCTTTTCAGAGATTTTTCGCTGTAACATAGCGTTAAACCCATCCAAACATATGACTTTTCAGTACATTAGCATTTTAGTTTTGATTCTTAAAGAACTGAGTAACACATGCTAATTATATTACACTGGCATAACAACATAAGAAAACGCTAGCAAATCTAAGAAGCAGTCCCAGCAGTTATTCCCATTCTCTCACTGGATCAGCTACTTTCTCCATCCCGTATTACAACTCTGAGCATGCAACAGTTTTTCTCAGTTGTAGCCCCAGGCTCAGCCCTTCATTTCAGATCCTATGGTGGTTTTTATTACTTCTTCCGTGTCATTCATCTAGCCCCAGAATTTTTGGAACTGCTGAGCAGGTGAAGGAGAAGGAATAATGGGACAAGACGAGTTGCAGCCCCTACCACCCAGCTTGTCAGTCCACCTTGTGTGGGTTGGATGAGAAAATCTTTTCTTATAGAGGCATACTTATATTACTTCTTCTTACCATTTTTAATGCAAAAAGCTAATGCATTCCATATTTCCACTTTCTTTAATGGAAAATGTCTTTTCGTAAAATTAAGAGATCAGTCTTGAAATGAAAGAAATGCAGAACCTCATCAATATGTAATAGAAGCTAGATCAGTTTAATTATAACCTAAACAACAAATATTGTTGTTTTCTAACAGCAATGGTGAAAAATCTTGTCTTCTTTCAGAATTATATCTTTACGAGAGAAATTATCTGATCTGAAGCAGCAAGTTGAAATGTTGATGCAAAGTTCTAAAATCTTATCTTCAGCTTCTGAGTCAACAAGTTTTCTTGAACAAAGTGAAACTTTGAAAATAATTCCTTCAAAAAAACCCAAAATGAATATTGCAAAAGTGCATCTTGATGAAAAAAACGAAGTAAGTGAGAACAGTTCTGCTCTTAAATATGTCTGACAGTCTTTTATTTAAGATGTCTGTTTTGGGGACATAAATGACACGTAACTTGGAAGGCAGACATAAAAGATTAAACTTCCCTCACCCCTTTCAAGAAATATTGAAATATTTTCACTTTTCATTTAATATTTAACTTTTTGTTTTCCTTATATATTGCTTGTCACTTTACAAAAATATCAGGCATCTTCAACCTTCCACTTGAAAATAAAGGCTACATCTTCAGGTACATAGATTTGAAAATTGATGTCTAATTTGTAGTAATCTACATCTGAAAATGCTCAGCATAGTGTTAAATTGAGCATGGTGATCAACCCAAAAGTACTTTTTAAAAATCAGTTACACATCTTCAATGCAAAATGGGCAGTGACGGTTTCTGAAATAAGAACCTTCTAATGACATTATTGAGAGAGGACTAAAACTGGCAGTGAATATATTTTCATTTTCTGTACACCAGCTTCTTCTTTTCTTTTTATTAGCAAGGCTGAATATGGTCTGCAACCAAATAACTCTTCCCACATACACACACAAAAGAGGTAATTTCAGAATTTTCCATGTGGTCTGTTTGAGATAATGTCATTGGAATAGAATGTTGCCACAGCATAACTGCTGCTTGATAAATGCCAAGGCAAAATAGACGTTTATTTTCAAAGTGGGAGACATTTATCATGTGACAGGATTCTCTTTATATCTATTATATGAAATGATTAATGATGTAGAGGCTGTCATTTTGTCCGATGGATGCTGTGAAACAGTGACAATTTTGCACTGTGCCATTATTACGAGGCTGTATTTTGACCAGCCTAGAGAACAAATGATGTTTTGGCCAATCACAGTGTTTTCAGTAGGGTAGACAGAGCTGTCCTTTAGTGGGTGTTTCTGATTACCTGAAGGGTTTTGCTCAAACTTTCATTAGTATATGTCAGTAATTGGAAAAACAATGTTTAGAATACTAATAAGATTAACATGCCATGCATTATACATGTATAAATATCATCTTGTCAGAGTGTTTGTTTAGAATGTCTTCCGTAAACAAGTAGCAAAAGTATGCTCGCTTACTGGATTTAATACCTGAGCCAGGGGCAATTTTGCCTCAGTAGGAACTGCAAGGTTTGGGCACTTGTATTTGTACAGCACACACAACTATTTGTGTTGCAGAAAATTTATATTCATCAGCTAAGGTTTGTTTTGCTGTTAATTCGACTAGAATAACCTAAAACTTGATTGTTCTGAAAAATTTTGTAAAGCCTAGCCATCTGTTAGCTTATCAGAGGAGACTGATGGTACAGCATTGTTTTTTTCTTGTTTTATACCATTAGGAAATGGCTAAAAGGTGTTTATCTGAAGTCAAAGCTCTGCTGTCTGTTGTTCCAGCCCTGTCCTTGCCATTAACTGAGGTACACTATTCTCATTAATAATAAAAATCCGTTTGCTAAAAGAAAACAATTGTTCAGTTAAACTGAAACACAGATTATACCACTAAGTATCTTCCCATTTTTTCCTCATACATTTGTTGGGCTTTCTGTTTGGGTTTTATTTTTTCGTCTTTACAAATAATATACCAGTGTGCATGATTACAAACTGTGAATATCTTCACTGTTCATTAGAGTCGCCACTTTATACATACAAAAATGTATTAAAAATGAATCTTACTCACAATGGGTGCATCTGGTTTATCCACCATTCTCTGGGCATTGTTTACACAGACTCCAGTGAATTTCTATGATGCAATTGCCAAATGCAATTGCCTTCCATTCCTGTGTTTTTACAGGTGTTAAGGCTTTTCTTCTCTTTTATTTAGCTTTCTCTGCCTTGCCCATGACATGTCGTGAGAGCTAGTAGACCATTTTTTTGTCCATGCTGTTGTATTCATCTTGTTACCCAGTTGTAGCCAGTGTCCCAGAGGAGACTTGGGAACTGCCCATAGCAGGCAGCAGTAGTGTTCAGTGTTCTCAGCCACTCTGGAGAGATCAGGAGAGGACCACAGCTGCCAGGGCTCAAGGAACTCCAAGGAAGATTTTTGGAATCCACTTTAACATATCACCCCCTCTTCTAATGCTCAAATACCTTGTCTGTAGTTGTTCACAATGGGATGACAATGGCTAAGGCATTCACTGTGCTCTTTTTTTCCAGTCAGGTAGCTCTTCCTCCCAGAAGAGAATCCCAAGCTTTATCTGGGAACAGTTTGGCTAGTGGCTTATTATAGAGGAGAGAATCTGTAACACTGTCCTGTGCATCCTGCAGTCTGGTACCTAGGAGTACATACTTACCTTTTACATGTACTGCACCATTCCTGCCAGTCCTTGTTACCCATCCTGAAGATCTCTACCAATTGACTCCCAGACCTTCATATCACTCAGTCTGGCTTTATCAATGCATCAAATACGTAGACATTCATTCTGCAAAGCTATACTTCTCACAGTCCCACTGAAACATGGCAGACAGTTCTGACAGATACCTAGGGAAAGGTACAGCCGAACTTTCTCAGAAGCACATGGACCTCCTGGACCTCTTTTAAATTCTCATGAATATCACCTCACTTTGCTTGCTTCTTTCTTTGGGTCTATGATGAAAGTGAGGGAGCAGATTTAGCAGCGTTCTTCCAGTAAGAATATGACATTAACTGCTCTGTTTTATTCTGACCAAATGCCACAAGCAGCTAAAACGTTCCAACAGGTGGAACAATGGGCTTTTCATCACAAAGTTTCATATAGAGACTTCAAACCAAGATCCTATTAGATATGGCAGATTTGGTTGACCAAGTGAAGCCTAATCCTTCAAGATGCTGAGCAGCTTCATTTTACTCTGAAGCCAACAGAACTTGTAGAGTGTTCAGCGCTTCATTATGTATAGCTTATTTCTCAGTAGCATTTCCAAACTTTTAAATAAGTTGTACGTGTGCATTACGCAGTCTTCTTGGCTGCAGGTGGAAAGCTCTGAGTGGGATGTTGTATACTATAGGGTAGTACATTCCCTTTGTTTTCAAGCATGCAGGAGTATGCAGCAGATACACTGCTTAAACATAGTTTTACATCATTTTTCCTCACCACACTCTTTTTTGTTGCTTGTCTTCTTGTGAATTAATTGGACGAAGTCAATGCTAATTTGTGGAATTTGTTTTCTCATTCTCCAAGCTGTCACATTTTAACTCCTATCATGTTTCCAGCTTCTCTTCTCTGATTTTCTTTTTTCTGTTCATGTGTCTTATGGTGCTTTTGATTCAGTGCTGAATTCTATTTCTAAGTAAAAGTGCATTTTTATTGAATTATTCATTTAAAACTATTTGACTGTTCATGTTTTAAGAATAAAAATTGACCAGCTGGCTTGTTTCTAAAGCTATTTAATGAATAACTACATTCTTAAGGGAGATAACAAAGCATAGTGTTTGGGAGTTCCAGTCTTAAAAGTAAATTTATAAATAAAATAATTGCATTAAAAATTAATTTCCATAAGTAGCCTGTTCCAAGCTTCTCTTCCTTTAGTTATTCTTAATATCTAAACCAGCTAAATAGTTCTTCATGTCCAGTGGACATATGAACCAGTTTATCATTGCCCTCTGTTTCACCTTCTACAGTTAGCTCAATTCTTTCAACATCTTATCGTGGGAAAAACCTTGGAAATTACTAATCGCTCTTGCTGCTCTTGTCTAACATCTTCATTTTACCTACAGATGATCAGGATAAACTTTGTGAGCAAGACTGTTCACAGAAATTTCCTCCCCCTAATCCTGTTTTAGCAGTTTCCTGCAAGAAATGTCATTAACCACAAATTCATACTGAGGCAATCAGTATTTCTGACTTATTCGTTGGTTGTAGGTCAGAAATCGTGGCTTCAATTTAATTTCATGTGTATATATGTAGTTTTTGGTACCTATAACCTTAATAAAGTTATTTATCTGGGTTTTTTCCCCTGTTTTTTCAGATCCCATTTGATGTTACTTTGCAATCAATAACAAGTTTGGAAGATATGTTTGATCCTGCCACTGGATGTACAATAACTGAAGAAAGTCTCTTCAATTGGATCATCTCTCTGTTTCACTAAATTCTGGTTTTGCAGTAACTTAATCAGTTGCTGAGTGCTATAGATTTAGACTTAAGTTCTGGTGTTAATGAAACAACCTCATTAATCACATCAGGATTTGGCTCCTAATGTATTTTCTAATTTTCATTTTTAGCTTTTTTCTAATTATTTAAAAAATTAATAGTTTTTAAGATTAAAATAATTTTTTAGGAATTAAATCTATTAAAAGTAGTTTCTTAGTAAGAAGATTAAAAATGTGATTTATTCAGTTATGTATAATTGAGTTTGTTGGGGGTTTTCTAGCTTTTCAATGATTTCTTATTGTTTAGAAAAGCTGAATAGGATTGTAGCCTTTTAGCATTTGCTAATAGATACTGCTTTTCCCCCAAAGTTTTATTCTCAACAGCAATTTTTTAATTGCTTTTGCAGTTATCAGAAGTTGGTTTTATTTCTGAGGCTGAGAATTTTTTTTGGCCTAAAATCAGCACTGAGTTTTGGAAACTAGCATTTCTAGCATTTTCTGTCTTCCATTAAAGAAAAACACATCACAGGTTGTTGAGGATAAAAAAGATTGTTCAGATGTCTCCATAATTTCAAAGCCTTTGTCTGAAAAAAAAAGTCAGTTTAAAAAATAAAATGGTACTATATAGAACATTTTGGGACATCATTCTACGATGCTAACAAAACCTCTGTTTACATTGCCAATGTTGTAAGTATTATTTTAAAGCACTGAAGAAACCCTAATGAGTCCTAACAACAAGCACCTGAGGAAATATGCTTGTCCAGTGTTAGAGATGAGGAATTTGACACAAAAAAGTGAGTTAGTTGAACAAGGCTGCACAGGAGAGTGCAGTTTAGGATTCGGGACTGAGAGTTCGTGGCCCTTTGGTTTTGCTCACATCACAAGGCCAGGCACTTCTTTGCCAGTTACAATGATTTGTTTGCAACAAACAGCAAAAAACCCAGGACGTTTGGGTAGGAGCCCTGTGAGACTTGTGCTATCACTTGCTACACTTCTCTGGAGCCATGAAAATTCAGGACTAATAGTTACCATTGCCGGGTTCAGTTTCTGTGAAAATGAAACAATTGGGTTGAAACGCCAGGCCCTTTCGCTTCAGTCAGGCTCTCACTGTGCTGTAGCCCAGCGATAAAATGATAAAACACTTTGAGCTGTTTGAAAATTGCAGGTTTACCTTCACTTGTGCTTTTCAGAGAAATATTACCTGGTTTACCAGCAAAGTTTCTTTTACAGAGGAGTAGAGAGTGGTGAAAGATTCAGCATAGCGAGTATCTTAAATGTGATCAGTAACAGGAAGAAATGGGGTCAGGTTTTCTACTTCATTTCTTTATTCCTATAAAAGAAAGATGACTGGATGTATTTGTCTTACGCGTAGCTTTTTAAAAGTTGTGCTATTTTTAATTTTGTCTAGCCTTTTCTGTAATGCTGTAGGTAGTAGGAAAATTAGGGGGATTATGATACCGTGTTAAAAAGGGATTAACAACTGAGTAATTGATAGGGAAGGTATTTTAAAACTGAGTTAGAATGGTTATGTAACTCAACTGCCTAACAGCCAATTTGGAGGAGATATTCCTTAGCGTTATTCTTGCAATTAAAAGAATTTATTACTGTTCTGCAGTTCTTCAAAAAGCAGGAAAGATAAAAATTTACGTTACTCATTTTTCTTTTACAAGGAACAAGTAGAAAATCACAGCTTTTTTGGAAAAGCTATTCAGTCTTTCCTTGTGCTTTGTAAAAAGTATAAAACCTATCTTTTTCTTTTTGGGGTCACCTTGAGGATTACCATAGGGATTTTGTACAGCTTAATTAATATTTGTAAAACACTCTATATTGTCAGGTGAAAATGGAAGTAAATTTCTGTTATAGACGAGGTGTTTCGTCAGTGCTGCCAAACTGGACCTTGTTATAATTCCTACACTTGAAAGAGAAATATGAGATAAAATGCTTTCATATACATTTAAAATACATTACACTTTCTAAGATATTTTTGTTGAAACAAAAATATTATCCTACAATCTTCTTTAACACAGCATAGGAAAATAGTAATGTTGAAACATTGACCTCACTGTATCCATAGCAGCGGATTTTACTCTCATAAACACAGGATTAAGTATTCAGTGCAGGTTTCAGATGAAAACATAGGAGAAAACATTTTTCTTTTGGCATATAATTAAACTCTTTAGTTAAAATCTGCTTGCAAGGAAGGAAGCTCATATCTAAACGTCTCCAGTAATTGCACAGAAAAAAAGTATAAAGCTAATTGCAAAGTAAATTGCTTCTTATGTATTATAGTACTTTGGGTGGATTTTTCCTTAGCATTGAATGCAGACTAAAGCTTTCAATATGTGAGACTAGAATAAATTTGTGTCAGCACCATGCTCAAATTTCTGTAGAATACTTGTCTGTGTCGCTGTCTCCAAAACTAAAAAAGGAAGAGGGGAAAGGCACCTTCTTTGACTTCACACTCCGAAGCATCAGGGAGGGCCCTCCTGCTATGTGGAGGCCTGCTCCGTGATCTGCCCTGTACAACACCGCCGAAGGGCTACTTACCGCCTCAGCAGCTTTGAACCACTGGCATATTTACCACTTCTTTCCAGATTTTAACTGAAATATTTCTCCATTCCACATCTGTGAAAGGAATGGATAGTGTTCCCCTGTCTGATAAGTTGTGCGACAGGGCAAGGAAAGAGGGCGAGCCCGGGGGCACTGCGGGGACAAACTGAAAGGATTCTGAAATAAATGACATTTTATCTTCAGTGCATCTCCAGGGTGAGGGACAAGAAGGATCCTACAGGGAAGTAAAGAACAGTAAAAAGAGGTGTGGGTTTTGGATTTTTAACTCCTTTGGTATTGTCTGTTCTGTGAACTGAATGAAGTAAGTAAGCATCCTGAGAACAGAAAGAGCTTCTGGTCCTGTAATTAATAACTGAATCATCAAGAATGTGATAGGGCTCAAACTGAAATTGAACAGGGACCTTAACATTGACAGGTCTGAATGGGTTTTAGAATACTGCATTTCTCAAATATTGTTTCAATATAGTTTTAAGTTATGTTGCTGCCTTGACAGAGAGTTGTATATTCAAGGCATTCACAGGATTTGTCTCATATGTACAAATATACGGCAACCTGAAATTATTTCTGGTTAAATTAAATTTATGATGTGGAAATTAGTAATTTCACGCAGATTTATTCAAATTGTATGTGACTGTTTTTTAAATTCCACTACAGCTCCAATTCATGCTCATTTTTTGTTTGGCTTAAGTATTTATCCAGTTTTTGGATGACATCAATCTAACAAAATAATCCTTGTGATTAGCCTCACTATGCCTCAGTTTCTTTATCTGAAGATAACAGTAATCCCCTCATCAGTGAGGGATTTGAAGTTTTCTGCATCAACATTTGAAAATTCAGATCCCTGAATGAAAGGGGCAGGGAATTTATGTTATTATTTAATTGAGACATAATGTTAAAGGGATAGTCATTTGTTTCCAAATCGATTTTCAGTGAAATCCAAGAAGAAAGATTTTTAAAAAGAATAATGATGGAACTAGAATTAATTGTTGGAATTACAGGCTAATATGCTGAACTAATTAAGCCAGCAAAGAGTTCCATTTATGTTTGCCAAAGATTTTCTTTGAGTTAAAGATACTGAGGACATCATCAAATGAGAGAAGTGAAAATATGCAGCATAGGTTAATCTTTAAAATAGAATGGGTGAAAGGGTCCAGAGACAAGTGCTGAAGTCAAATATTTACCACTGCAATTTAATTTTCCACTTTGAAACCCCAGAGATAATTAGAATTATTCTCATTTGTCTCCCATGTCAGCATGATTTAGGATTCCACTTAACGTGCAAAGGAAAAAAAGTATGCGTTGAAGTGAATTACACCAAAAATCTCAGTGTTGCACAGTGGAAAACTAGAACATGCTATGTAAGAACACATCACAAGGTGATGGATCTGGCTCTGCCTGGGCTGTTCTCAAGACAGCCGTGCGGGAGGTGAAGCTCTGTAAGGAGTCAGTGCGCCTTCACGGCTGGCTTAGCTCCTGGCCAGCCACCCAGAATTGAAAAGAACATTTCGGCAGCCACCAAAAACCAGCAATACCCTAGGCAAAGCCGTGTGTTCTGCTCGCCAAGGCCTGGGGGGTCGGCGCAGGAGCCTCTGCTGTGGGTTTTCCAGACGTGAGAACTGCAAGTGCCTGACGGCTCCCATGGCTGCTCTGCGGCACGGGAGCGGGACGAGGTCTGTGCCTCACGCTTCGCACCTTGCTGCGTTCCCCACGGCTACTGGCATCATACAGCTAGAATACGGCACAGCCAGAGGTAAAAATCAAGACTCAGTTTATCCTACGAAACTACTGTATACATTTCATTGTCATACAATGTGTAATGTATTAATGAGCTCTGTTCCGTTCTTATGATTCCACTACCAAGTGAAGTAATACCATTTCAAAACTCTTTTAAAGAACAATTATAACTGTGGAGAAATCCAGGTTGTTTTTTTCCCCAGTGACCCCACTGGTCTTACCCCCCAGGAACTCTGCAGCTCATGGTTCAGAACCCAGAGTCACTGCTGCTACAGTGAAAACTTTGTTTATGGGCACAGAGGAAACACAACTTGTATTTAGAGCCAAAAATTTATTTTTAGCATAATTGAAATCTCAGCCTAATCTAAGAACCATTATTAAACCAGGTCTAATTATTATGGGAAAAGAAAGAATACTTCTATGCAGGAAAAGTTGAAGTAATAATAATAGTAATACAGTTAAAATTATACACTCTTGCTAATTTACTCCTCTTCACCTGCGTATTGCTCACACTTCCACTGCTCGCCTGGGTCTGAAGGTCAGTGGTTTCGTGCTGGTGTGTGTGTGTGAGGAGCTGTTAGGGCAAGTTGTCACATCTGGAGTCTTGGGGCTGGAGGGGTATGATGATTATGTTTTCTTCTCCTTCACTCTAGGATTCATTTGGGGTAATTTTTATATGTTTAGTACACTTTTA